GGGTGCAGTGGGGATTCGGTGCCGGGGGGTAGCCCAGCCCTAGTGTGAGCTCAGGTTGAAGCCTGTCTGCTTCATCCAGTGGTGGGAGTAGCTGTGTATGTGCCTTTCCCCTGTTTGCACCGGAGAGAGGAGAAAATAGAAAAGTTACTTTAGCTGCTCCCGCCCACAACCGTCCTGGCCCCCAGCCAGCATAGCAGGACTGGGCTCTGGGAAAGTCTGCGGGGCGGACGGGAGCTAGGGCTGGAATATTCCTCCGAGAGGCTGAGGAGCTAAAACAGTTGAACTGTCGGTGGGAAATGAATTAAAAACCTGAGCGGTGCTGGGCTGCTTTTCAATCTTGCTCGGCGGCAGCATTTACCAAACTCGTCTCCCTTCTGGGTCTGTAGGGATCTCTGGAGTGAGATAAACTGGCTCCTCGTGGGTTTCGGCCAGCAGATCTGCCTGCCTGTGAACCCTCGCTGCAAAGAGTGCCTCAACAGACACATCTGCCCGGCTGCTAAGAGATGCTGAGGGGATGGCTGCTCCTTCTAGAGCAACAGCTCTGCACCGGGGTTGTGAAGCTGCTGGACTCTGAGCCCCAGTAAGACTGCATTGGGCTTGGGGAGAGACCTAGTGCTGCAGAGAGATGGGATGGGAATGCAGCAGCTACCCGGCGAGAGCAGATCTCTGAAGGGGAAAAGCGCTCTCTGAAATGCAGCCGTCCTGCTGAGCTCTGCAGGAACAGTCCCTCGGTGTGGGTGTCTAACACAAACACTGCACAGAGACAGTGGGAACGGGGAAATGTTACACACTGCGGTGTCTGGTGCAGCTGGAAGGAGACTTCCGCCGGCTCGGGGCCTGGCCCTGCCCGGAGTCCCTGCCTCAAGCTGGTTGGGCACAGACTGGCTTAAGAAAGGTGTTTTTTTCATTAAGGTTTTACTGACACTCTGCAGCGCCGGAGGGAGCCGTGGTGGCCTCAGCCACCGCTGGCGGGCATAGGGACTGAGCACGGCAAGGGCCAGCTGGAGGCAGGGAGGGGAGTATGGGGCAGCCCCCCACGGGGAGGGATATTACATTCAAAAGGTACAATTCAGGCTTCACAAAGATGAGCCCAGCCACCCAGACCAGGATGTTGGGGCTTCGCTCGTAGCCAAGAACGGGGGAAGCAGCGAGAGCGATGCAGAGACTGGCCAGCAGGGCTGCTCTTAAGTTCAGCTTTGACAACGCTGCCCCCCTCTGAACACTCTCTCCCCATGGGATCTCCTTTGATCTTGGGCCCTGATTCAGGACAGCACGTCTGTTGGATTTAAGCACATGCATAAGTGCAGCACTGGGGATGCTAAAATAGCTCTGTTTCTGATCCTGGGGCCCTGTCTGCCTTTCAAAGGGTGCCGGATTGCGAAGGTGTTTTTCAAATGGGTATGAAATTTGGAGTGGTCAGGTATTTGAATTTCGGGTGGGGTGGGAATCAGTCACAGAACCACCCGTTCCAGTAGCAGCTGTGGCGCTTTGGCTTAATCAGATGATAAATATTGTTTTGACTGATCCTTCGTGTGTCCGGCTTTAACCCCTAAAGAATTGAGGGCCTATTGGATTGGAAAGAGGAGAACGCCTCACTCAGCCAGCTCTGTCACAGCTGGGGATGGGGGGAAGGAAACAGAAAATCCCCCTAAATACTGCAGGAATTTCCCATAGGACTCCAGTGTGCTTCCAAGCAGCTCTGCACTGAAGTCCAGAGTGTCAAAGGGATTTAGGTGCCTTTGAGGAGTTGGGCCCAAACTGGGGAAAACTTTGCTACTGAAACTGTTAAGATTCCAACAACTTGTTCTTGCACTAGTATCGCACGCGCTTTGCCTAGCACAGGGGCAAAATCAGCAACGGGCTGGAGTGGAAGGGCTGCTTTATTCTGATTGCATAATACTGCATAATCTTGATTACAGAGCGGTCACCCACAAAGCCTACACCGGCGGTGCTCTGTCCTGACCTGGCCGGGTTCTATGTCTCAGGCATAAGCACTGCAGATTGGGAGTTTCAGTCTCTGTATTAAAGGTGGGGACATACAGAGAGGGAAATCTGGTTGGTGCTCTTTTTTTTTGGCTTCTTTCTAATGTTTAAAGGATGTCTGCAAAGTTATGCTCTCCCTCCTCCCCCCCCCACACACACCAGAAACTGAAGTCTCATCTACGCTGAGGCCTACTTAAAACTGGAGCAGTAGCGGGTGCATAACATCAGAAACACCAAGGAAGAGAGCTGATAGAGAGAAGTGGTTTTTTTTTTAAATAAACTTTTAAAATGTTTAGTTTATGCCTCTTTATCCCCAACACTTGGGCAAAAAGTTCTTTGTGCTAAAGATTCACCATACCCAGCTTTTTCCAATTAAGGGTTGAGAAATATGGATTTCAGAGTCATGAAATGAAGCCAATACTAGACATTTAAAGTAGTAGTAAACCAAAAATCAAACCTTTCAGACCCCCTTATACCTCCAAGAAGCTAAAAAGGGCACCAACAATTTTCTTCCGTTGCAAGTCACCGTTCTAAGCAACGACAACTATTAACCCATCGCAGACCTGCAGCAGTTGTTTGGCCCACTCTTCTAACTAGCCAGTGGAGGGAATGGAATTTAATATAACACGCTATTGTGCTTCCTTTCTGATGCTCTTTACAACACCAAGACTGAAATGAAGAACAGACTAATTAGCCTTTTAAGCTGTACATGGCAAAACAAAGTTTATTATTGACATTACAGTATACATTGTCTTTACAATGCAGATAACAACTTTATACTTGTATTGGTTTTTCAAGTTAAATGTACAGAAACTGAATAATTATTATTACAGAGCTACTAGATGTCAGAAATAGCGATAAGTGCTTTAACCATGAGCCATTTCCATGGACTATGCAGTGATAATTTTAAAATCTTATTGGTACATATTTGCATACCTGATTTATTTTGATCAGCATTAAAAAGAAAACACAACCATGCTATTTTCCCCTCGACTACGTTGGTTCTGACTTATTTACAGGCTTTTCGAGAATGACTTCCTTGTTTGCTACGCTGTATTTTAACACCTACCTTGCAATGTAACTGGGGAGGTTTTATCCCTAGCAGACTCGCATACTGTAGTTGGAAGTACAGGGATTGAAAGCAATCTGCATATCGTGAGTGTAAGATTCTTGTGTTATGGACTTCTTAGAGTAGCAACTGTTTGTTGTGGCCAACAGCAAGCGCCCCCCCCCCGCCCCCAATCAAATTTTCTTCTGAAACGCAAGGTAAGAGGCCAATGTGAGACTCCTGTAGGGAAGAAAAGCTCTAAACTTCTTACTAACCCTCTCCAACCTGGTATCCGTCCCAGGGTTTACAGCCAAACACTTGCAGAGATTTCTTTCCAAGATCCTATTTGCATCCATTTGCCCCCCTAATACTGTACATCCTCCCTGTCTTCAGTATGGTCACAGCCTCACCCTTCACTGGTCCCTGCAAAGAAGCCGAACACCCCCTCCGTCCCCTCCCCACAGTGCTGCGATACATCCATCTACTGAAAGGAACAGTAAATGTTATAAGGCACCTTTTTAAGCTCAGTATTACGAAATATACACAGAACCTTCACAAGACCATAGTGCACAAAGTCAAAGGCCACTTGTTCATTATACAGAGTCTGAGGGTAACCTGGGGCAACAAAACTGAACCATGTGCTTTATCGTAAATAACTATTGCAAATCTTACATTCTTGCCCTAGTGTGTCGTTAGCTTGGGGGTGGGGAGTGGTCATTGACCTAAACTGTCTGCTCTGCCCATCCCCCACCCCACCTGCTTTTTTAATACTATTTTTGCCATTGTTACAAAATACATGTCAGCCAAAAAGGCTGTTTTGTTAAATTTCAGTAAAAAGGCAACGGGAATCGTCCCGCTCTCTACGGCACAGATCCAGCCCCAGTACAACTCCACTGCCTGGAAGCCATTAGTACACGTTTAATTTAATCTTCGTTAGTGTCCCTCGTTTGAAGCCCGAGGTAAGTAGTGAAGATTTTATACTAGTTTAGTCATGGCTATGTCGGATAGCTTTAATGGTACATTTTATGGAACTCTCTAACATTGAGAGCAGGGTGTTTTCAAAGAGGGGCCTAAAGCCAAAGCAGTTGTCTGCTCCACCAACCCCGCTGCCAGTTTAACGGTTAGCAATACGGTGTGGACCAGCGGATCGTATTCCATCTTCCTATAAGACAATCCACATGCCAGATCACATTGCTACAAGGGGCCCGGCCCAGCCCAACATAAGACAACAGAGAGCTTGCTTGTTATTTTTCCAGGTTGGCAATGCAGCTGGTGAGAGATCAGCAGGAAAATGTGAGAGGTTTAAACCCTGAGTCAGGAATAGCAAAGCAGGTTCGGGTTGGGGCTTGGTTCTGAAGCCAGCGTCTGAGTGGACGAGCCGCCGCTGGATTGCTCCTGCTTGAAGCCCCGTTTTCATGAGGGCCTCTCAAAGCAAGGTCTTCAGGGATTTCAGTTCCCAGCTGATGAGACACTCGGTTGTGCTTCTTTGAAGTCTGCCTGAAGAGCCATGTTTCCAGTGTCTCATTGAGTTTGTTCTCGCAGGGCTTCCAGTGGAGATCGGGGACAGAAAACCTTGCGTGTGGATGTGCTAACAGGAATCACAGACAGTCCTTTATTGTCGGGGGGGGGGGGCTTATTCCCCTCCTCTCCCGCCATTTCTGCATTTTATTATGCACATCTGAGGCCTGGGTTGTTTGGGCTACTAGGTTTTGTGGGATTTTTTTGTTTTGTTTTTAAGTCCTACCATCTTCTCAACACCCAGAGTTTGTTTTGAGGGGAGGCGGGGGTGGAGCACAGAAGGGAAAAGGTTTGCTGAGAAAAGGGCTTTTATTGCACTGGTTAAAGGGATCCCGGGGGAGAGCGGTTCCAGCATTAATGAGAAACAGATGGGGAATTTTCTTTTTTACACCAAAAACAAACAAAAAACCCCACCAACCCTTCTAAATCAATAGAGAAGCCAACGAGAGAGAAATGTATAGCCACTGACCAATCTCCCACCTTGTGAGTATTCAACACTGTAGCTCAGAGTGGGATTTTTTTCAATTTTTTTTTTTTTAAACAAACTAGATTATTTTGAATTGAAACGAATAAGAGTTTGCCCTTTGGGAGCCCTCGGCGCGAGGCTTTTAAACAGGAATGCATAATATCCCACCAGGGATTCTGCGGCTGGGGGAAGCTCAAAATAGTAAAAACTGAAATAAAGCAGGTAAGAAGGAAAACTGAAATCTTTCCAGTCTTTCTTCAGCAGCAATGTGGGAACCGCAGGCAGCCGGGTAAGTGCTGAGAGGAGCTTTGGTCATCTTTCTACTGGAATCACTTGTCCATAAACGACCCTTTGTAAAAAATTTGCCTTGCAAAAAGCGACCAATGAAGAGCAGAGCACAAAGCGTCTTGGGTCGACAGCCAGGAAGGGGGCTGGTGCGCGTTGGAGATGTTCAGTTTGGAGGGTGGGGAGAAGGGGAAGACCTGCCGTCCTGGCTCAGAAGTTGCTGAAAATCTCCCGTTTCTTGTTCCAGTCCATCTGCGGAGCCCTCTTGTTCACCCGCTTGGCGCGCGCTTTCTCCTTGGCCTCTGCCGCAGTCGGGCTCAGGTTCAGGCCACTTTCCTCAAATGGGTCCTTCTTCTCAGACTCTCCCTCCTGCAAAGAGGAAGAAGACATGAGAAGCTTTCCTGTTACGGTGTATTGCGGTGTAGTATGTTGGGTGGTATAGCTGTGACCATGGAGTGAAATGGGCATGGTCGGGTGCAACAGTGCCCCCTGCAGGAATACAATGGGCTGACTGGGGTGGGTGTCTGTGTGTCCGATTACATCCCCCGCTGGAGAGCACATCAGGCCTATGCCTGTAATTGTGGTTCTCTTGCCCTCTAGTACCTCATCTACATAAAACCTTACAGAGAATTAGGGCAGATTCTCCTTAAGGGCACATGATAAGAAGCCCGTGTTTGTGGAGCAGACCATCGAGTTTGTCATGTTTGTGGTTTAAGTGGCGACCAGGGTGTCTTTGTGGCCAGAGATTTAATTACAATACTGGAGGGGAAAAAATGCCCTGAAGAATGTGTTGCTGCTGTTACTGGAACTGGAAAAGCAGAAGCACAAAAATGCGGTGCCGTTGCCAAAGGTGAGACGAAACCACGTTTGGAAACACAACATTAAGCCCCTAGTGACAGTAAAAGCTTTTATAAGAGAAAGCAACATGGAATAACGGCAGGCTCTGTGGAAGCACAAACTTGCTCATTACAGTAGGGCATGTTTAACTGAGGACCACAACTGAGTTGCTGATTTGGTTACATTACGGGCTTGGTTCACTATAGTTCTGGTGTTCAGAGCGGATGTGAACCCTCGCTGATTTTTTCCAGCTAGATGGCTGTAAAAAGGCCACACCTAGCACTGCATCTCAAAGCCACCAGGTATTACAATGCAAATATTTGCTTACGGGCGACTGAGCTCTGCCACATGTCGTGAGAATAGCACCTTGGGAGCTGCCCAATAAAAAGCATAACAATCCAACATTCTTTTTGCCAATTCAGTGGGATATCTAGGAGAACTGGGTCCAATGCGTCTTGTATGAAACTTGATTCATAGCTTCCTCCTCATACTACTGATGGCTGCCACCTCAATAAACACTCTGAGCAAAACCCCAGTGGCCTGTAAGTTCATCTCAGCCCTCTGATTTCTGTAATGGGCAAAAGCTGGACTTCAACTCCTTAGGGAACAATTCATATGCAGGATGAAGTGCTTTCAGCTAAATATCTATTAGTCTTCTGAAGAGACATTTTACTGCAGGCCTTAAATTGCATTACTGCACTTCCATCTTCATGCTAAGCACAAAGATTATTTAATTAGGACTCAAAGTCCATTAACTTGCTGTGGCAGAGCTTTGGAGCACAAGGAAGTCTCTTTTCTGCTACGACATCTTTAGTTAGAACGTTCGTATAATAGACGGGCTGTATATGGAGCTTAATTTAAAGCGGACTGCTTCAGTAACCGCATTTGCATGGTGTAGGTTTTTGTGAGAGAACCAGCATTCAGGAAAGAGCTACAAAATGATGCTCAAATGCAAGACATTCGCATTTTCAGCACGGTCATAAAAGCACGAAGCTCTTAGATGGAAAACGAGGCTAAAGGCCTGATTCTTCATTGCCTTGTGCAGTCATTTACATCACTAAAAAGTGCCAAGTGCCACCTGATCTGAATAGTAGCTCTGTTGGACCTTCTCCCCTGAACCCACCGAACCGAACTCCACCATATGAGGGTCATCTTATCCTCATTACCCGGCCCGCTTATCTATACCCATGCTTGCCTGTAATTCCTGTATGAGTGATGTACCCTCACTGCTTGCTGACTGTACCTTCATTCATCCACCTTATATCCCCCCATTGGGGATATTGCCGACTGTATGTGTTATGTGCTATCCAGTATCAAAATATTAACATCCCCCCATACTCTGTATGTTACCCCCGATGACTAATAACTGAAGTTTCAACACTCTGTATCATCTATTTGTCAACATTTTCTAATAAAATTTTGTACTCACTTTGCCCTGCTGGAAGGGATTTCACCTGGTGCAGTAAAATGGAGAAACACACCCTTCAAGTTTAAGGGAAGTTTTTAGAGCCATTTGTCTGCACCACTCCCACTGACACCATGCAGCTGAAACTCCAACCGACACGTCAAACGTTTACCCCCAAATGGCAATGGCCACTTTTTTCAAATGGAGGTGTCTGAGTTAGGCACCTGAATGAAAATGGCCAGATTTCAGGGATACAGATCACCAATTCTTCCACTACTTCAGTCCCTGAAAATCAGGTCACTTTTATTAAGCGCCTAACTATGAATTCAGATGCCTGCCTTTAGGCACTCACGTTAGAACACTTTGTTCATGATTTTTAAAAAACTGATTTATTTTGGGTGCCTACATTTTTAGACATGCAATTTATGACACCTTAAAGGGACCTGATTTCAGAAGGTGGGTGCTCAGTATTTTCTGGAATTTGGGGCTCGTGAAGATATTTCTAGTTGGGCACAAAAATCAGAGACACCCAGACCAAGTCACTTTTCAAAATCAGGGCTTTTGGCCAATGCATTTCTTTATTTTTAGTGAACAATTCCAAGGCATGGCAAGAATGAAAGTTAAAGGACACTCAACTCAAAACTTTAGAAATCACTTACTTCTTTTACTAACCACATGCTAAATTAGTAAAATGAGAAGTGTTATAAATCTACTCTTTTCTCCCTTTGAAGCCATGTGTTTGCTTTTAATCTTTCATTCAACTTGATTAATGAAAGAGTGGTCAATTTCAGTTTCCTATTCTGATTCTCAGGCACTAGCAGAATGCTACAAAGTCTAGCTTTTCAATAGGCAGAGAACGGTTTAATTTAAAAAAAAATCCTGAAATTTGTATTCAATTTTTTAATTAACGAAACAGGGTTTAGTCCTGTTAGATATTGTGAAATCTTTCCATGCAACTATTTTTAATGTGATTATATTTGAGGCCTAAAATTAGCTGAATGTATACCGTTAGCTTAAACCTTATACCAGGCTAATGCAACGGTACCAGTGAACCCTTTTAATGAGGTTACCAACGGTCTCCCTCAGTTATTACTCTACCTCTCACCTGTCCCTTGTTTTAGACCCAAGTTTCCCTCTAACTCATTTATTTTCCTTTTGGGTGCTAAATAATTGAGTATAAAGCGCGACTGGTGACATTTAGTTATAGAACGTCTTGGTTCTGCATTGTGCTTCCTAAAACTGCTGTTTTCTCTGTGTCCTTTACTGGAATAAACAGGCTGAGAAGTCCAAATGATACAGTGTAGTAAAGCCCTCACACTTAACTTTACACACCATGCCTAGTCTACTGATTTCACAGTACACAAAGTTAAGTCTGTTCAGGATGGGGGCCTAACTAAGTAAACAACTAAGCAGCACAACAGTGCATCAGAATCCTTGCAAAACTTGTTGTCTGTATTAATCTGGGACATCTGCTGCTTCTGGCAGAGGCCACATGAAACCAGGAAGCTTTCCTGCACCCCTGACAAAGAGTGGAAAGAATGCACAGTTTGGACTCCAGCACGTGGAGACAGAAGCAATCCAAGTAATTTGAGCCTCTCAATAGTCCTTTTAAACTCCATTTAATCAAACCCTGCACATTTCAGCTTCTGCACATCTTAAAGCAAGAACAAGTCATAGGGAATATCATGGTTTTTAGTTTCTCCCCCCCAAAACATAAATACATGTTTTAGTCGTGGGCTTGGGGTTTTTTCATTTGCTAGTTTTCAGTTGATTATTTTCCCTGCATTAACATTTTTTGCAATAACATCATATTGAATTTCCCCAACTCCTTTCATCCCATGGGATCCTAGAGCTACTTCAGAAACTAGAGAGATTGCTCACCCATTATAGAAATGCAGCCATCTCTGGGTTGGAACCTGGAAGCTGTTTAGCAGCTCACAAGAACACTACATGCTAGTTTAGGGCAGGAAGTGAAGAAGAAATCTTGTTTCGAAAGGGTATTTAATATGCATGTTTATATAATATGAAAAAATAAAAATTTGTAAAAATGTATTTTTACCTCTGATTCCTTCTCAGGACTTTGAAGATCACTATGGGATGAAGACATGGATCCTCCGTTCAGCTGTTGAAAATGGAAATGTTAACATGTACATTATATACGTGTGTGTGTGTGTGTGTGTGTGTGTGTGTGTGCGCATATTTTTTATATATAAAGTGAGATGAAAAATGCTGTGTGGAGTTTACAGCCTTATGAGATCAGATCAGAGCCAATTCTGCCAGGTGAAGAATACTGTGGGTTTTTTTCCAAACACGTGGCTGGCTGCAAAACAAAGACTGAAGGGGGGGGAAAAACTGTAAATTCAAGTGACAAAAAACCGCAAGTGTTTACTAGCAAATTACACAGATGCTCTCCTCCAGTGCAGACCTGGTGGCGGCAGGGTCCAGTTACAATTCATCGGAGTCAATGGAGCTCCACCCACTTACCCCAGAGCAGAGTTTGGCCCTGTGTCTCCACTCTCATTTAGCAACTACTCCTGTTCCATGCACATTGCAGGAGCAGGAAACTAGGTAGCAGAGAAACCAGCATTGTTTTGAAGCCAGCCTTGAATTAAAAACTATAGAGGGAAGTAATCAAATTCAGTATATGTTAAGTAAGCTAAATAAGCCTCCAAACCCTCTCTGAGGTAGTGGTCATCCGCACTTCATAGCTGGGCTAACTAAGAGTCACCTTGCTCCAGATCACAAGGGGAGTCAGAGGTAAAGCTGGGGTGAGAGTCCTGACTCCAGTTCCCCACTCTGATTACAAGGTCACATGTCGTCCCAAAACAAGGTGAATTGGGATGTTGACATTGCTCCTTGGACAGATTTGCCTCTCAAAATAGCTAGATCACTGCTATGCTTTTTCCATCAATCAGAGTCTATTTGATTAATAAGAATAGGACGCCAATGACAGACACTCACCTGGGTTTGTGCAGACCCGTTAGTAATAGGCTGAGGCACTCCACCTATAGACCAAGAAAAGTAAAGCCCTGGTAAATACATTTAACTGGAGACTGAGGTGTCAGACAGAGCTTCCTCTAGCGTACCCATCCTGGGAACTCACATGACTTTCCCGTTTCCAGGGTTAATGGAGTGGAGCACTCCTTGCAGGCCACATGAAGTGAGGCATGTATATTCTCCTGGAGTCATAGTCAGACTGAACCCAGGCGGTTTATGAACCCCTACAAAAACCTATTAATTCCCTTGGGTTTCTCTTCTGTGACCCAGCTTGTTTTTAATTCCCCCCCGCCCCCGTTTCATTTGATTTCACCCCCCACCAAAAAAAAAGTCATTTCATGGATCATTTGGGGATGAAGTAGCTTCTTTTCTGAATCAAATACAACAGATAGCCATTTCTAATTCAAACAAACAAACAAAAACAACACAACAGATCCTCCTTGTCTCAGAATACTCACATACCCAAGCAATATTCTTTGCTGCAATTGTCACCTTGTCAATTTCACAATAAAATGTGTGTGTGGCGGGGGGGTAAATCTGTTTTTGGAGTCATTTTGCATTTTTGTAACATCTTTCACTGCCCTCCAATTATCCTGCACTATTAACAAAGGACAACAACTTGGATGAGCTGCCAATCAACAATTTCACATCCCTGTTAGCAACGAAGGACAGTACAGATGTGCCAATCACAGAACAGCCAGTATTAAATAGGATATCCGTCTGTGTGGGCTGTACGTTTCTTGGGCAAGGACTGTGTTGTGTGTGTGGTTGTGCAGCACGCAGCCCAACAAGGCTGTGGTCCCAGTAGAGACTTCTGGAGGCTGTCATAATACAAATAATAAATATTAATAATTAGGCGCACGCACTTCATTGTATAACACACAGTCTAGTCAAGCAGGAGCTAACAGTGCTCAATGCCAATGGGCCAGGGGTAAATTCGGGGCAATAAATCCAAAGTTGCCACTTCTAATACCAATGAGCTGCATCACCATGTCTGTCGTGACCTCATGCCAATGCCGAAAGTATTTCAGGACTGTTCTAAAGATCTACAAGCCTTTCTGGACTCAGCCAAAAACAAGAGTCTTGCAAAGTCTGCATGAGTAGCAGTCAGTGACCCCCAGTGAAAGCCAGTGTGATTTCAAACAAAAATCCTACTTTGAGATCTAGGGTGGTACAAAAACCCAAATTGCATTGTTGGGTGTCTTTAAACTCAATCTGTCTCTTTATTAGCAGCTGTACGGGCCCGATTCCTAGTGATCATGAAATCTGCAAAGAAAAGGTGACAACACACACTCCAGTGCTGCAGTCAGAGTTTTGATGCCAGGATACGCTGCTTGAAGAGGCAACTGAACATGATGCGTATCGCAGTAACACTGGCTACATCTCCTCAGGCGGAGAACAAGGGCTTCATTATCATTTGTGCCAACAGCAGAGTCTCTCTCGCATCATCTCCTGTTTGTTCCAATTTTGAATTCTGAGCATCTGACACCACTTTCCCCGCGGGTGGATCTTAGAATTGTTTGACCTGGTTTTTTGGACAGCTCTCTCCACTGAATACTTGAAAGAGCAAAGTGATTGCCTGAGCTAGAATTCAGTTTAGATAAGAAACAGCTGTGTTGAAAAACAGAGCTCCCCATTCACACAGCCAGCAAGGAGGGAAATATGTGTTTGGTGGAATGCAGAGATCTCTCCCAGCATGGGAGTCTGCAGCGCCACAGGTCAAATAGTAGATAGGCAGCTTTCTCTGCCAGTTCTCAACAGCAAGGATAATATTTATTGCACTACTTATCAGAGCTATTGCTGTCCTGTGAAATCTCTTCCTTCACATACACATGACACTTGCTCTGTGTGGCTGTACATATGCATACATGCTCATGCTTTCGAAAGGCTACGAGAAGTTAAAGGATCTTTAAGTGTTTTCCTTTGGTGTCCAAATCCAAACATATTAAATAAGAGAAAATACACCCCAGGACAACAATGGAATAACTTGCAGGCGCCGCTCTGAGTCCCTTTCCAGACTTCCTTGCCTCTCCCTCATATATGGGACATGTTGTCTTTGGGACTTAGATACTGTCATCATTGGATCAGATCAATGGGTCACCTGGTCTGATAGCCTGCTTCTGACAATGCCAGATGCTTCAGAGGAAACTGAAAGAAACGCCTGGACAATTGTGTAATAATAATCTGTTATTAGAGGAAGTTTCTTCCGAACCTCAGGCAGTTAGTGTTCAGCTGATGTCCTGAAGTATGAGGATTGAGGTCTCTTAGAAACATTTACCTTAGCTAGTTATACATGACATGCCTATTATTCATATCAATGTCTGATTCTCTTCTGAATCCTACCTAAGTTTGTCTCAACACGATCTTGTGGCAGGGAGTTCCACAGGTTAATTATGAATTGTTTAAAAATATATAAATGTTTGGATTGCCTGGAAAATATTGTTATTTCTATTTATAAAAACCTCATAGACACTCAGGTAACTAGCAAAAGGGGCTACCTAAGCATCTAGACTGACAGAGGAAGTCACTGGGACCAGTAGTTCTAAATCACTTTTGAAAGTCCGACCCCAAGCTCATAACAGTGGAGAGCAGGGTACAGTCACCTGGGGGGAGTAAGGAGGATCTCACCTTTGATGTGCTCCTCCGTGGGGATTATCCCCAGTTTCTTGAAGTATTCATCCGTTTCGGGATCCACCACTAGGAGCTTGGCTTCGTTCTCCTTGGCCTTGATGTTTGACACAACCTCGGAGTGTTTCATGCCTTCCACATTTATCCCGTTCACCTGCAAAGGGACAACGGGGGCGTGAGTGCTTCTGGGCAGGTCACACACCGACGCAAAAAGCACCATCCCTAGGGCGCCAGCAACTTTAGAGGTTTATCTCCTAAGCACTGCTGGGGAGCAGCTTTTAGGTTGTGTACCTGCCTCAGTGCAAAAGGTGAGCATCTCTTCGTAAAATGCTTGGTGCTCCACAGGGCCACATCAGGAACCTCACCTCTCCCGCTGGAATGACTCCACACGTGCATTTTCCCAGCTAAATTAATAGCCTCAAAGGTAATTTTCCCCCCCAGGAGTTATGCTGGTTCTCCAGTTCTTGGCCCTCAAACCCCCAATTGGCTCCCCTCTGCTTCTGGGTTTGAAGATAGGGGGACACAAGGGCTAAAAGGCTCTTCTTTCTTTCATGCTAGCCACCATGTCCTACCAAGCTCGTACTAGGTTTTGCCTTGAACGCACAGGCAGCTTAGATAGGACTGTACCCAGAGAATAGCTTGGTGAACTTTCATTCGGATGGCCACCAAAAGGTCCCTGGAAGAGCATCTTCCCTTAGGTCCCATCAACTCCCAAGTCACCTTTGCCTTTTACCCGTGTCCTGAATGTGCATGTTCCACTCGTCATGGGAGCAGGTGTCTCTGATACTGAACTCAAGTCTCCCACCAGCTGAGCGCTTTCGAGGGACCATTCTCCAGCATACTCTCCCATGGTTTGCCTAGTGCAGTTCTAAAGGGCCTAAGCCCCCAGTATTACTTTCCCCGGGAGACTATACACCACAGCCCAACTGATCCCACTAGTATCTTCCCCTTCCCAGTCCAAGCCACTGGTTGGTCCTTTCTGTCCACAAGACCAGGTCTCCACAGCTGGGAAAGCGGCAGTCAGGTCTTTACTGCAGGTCTCCACTCATGAGCCAGTGCCATGTGGCCATCTTTAAAAAATGTGACAAAACCCTCACACTGGGGGAAAGGATTGCCTATTTGCTCCCACGTCTGCTTTAGCTAAACAGAGTGGTGCATCTCTCTCCTAATACTGGATGCAGTGATTAATTGCTGTCCTTTGTTGGACGCTAATTGGTGCCTGTAAAGGACTGAGATTTATTCTCTTCATTATTCCATGCAACACGGGAGGGACAATTGTAACTGCGAACCATTATTCCTGCTGTTGAGTGAGTGCACTCTGCGTCCTGAACGAAGAGATCCTGATGCTCCCGTGCCACTCATCGCTTGTAGGCACAGACGCCTCCGTTGGTTCCGCTCAATGAACCATTTTGAGCACTAATGGTTTAATCGCATTCTTTTCATGCGGTTACAAAAACTCAAACCGCCAATTCCTCATCAGGTTTGCGCTTTGCATCTTAAAAAGAAGGCTCAATAGATTTCAAAACAGATGTGTTGATTTAGTCTTAATAGTGGCACAATAGATACAGTCGATCATCTCACTGTAAATGCGAACTACAAAGACAATTGGTAATGAAATTATCCAGCCCTCTAAAGACCTCCAGCTACTACATCACAATGAGTTTTGAAGGAGCTAAAGCGCTCGGAGATATTGTTCGCTGCAGAAAGGTCGTTAGCTACTGTAACTATGTTTCTATTAAAAGGCCTGGATAATTTTATAATCAGTTATATCTTTATCACGCATGTATGACAGGATAACTCAATTGTCATGTTTCAGGGCATTAGCTGATTCCTTCCTGACCCACTGAATCACTTTTCCAGCCCCACACCATCACAGCACTCCAGTTTACTCTCCTGCAGTGCCTTTCCTACAAGGATTTCAAAGCACTTTACAAATATTAACAAATTTTGTCTTCTCCCGCCCCCTTCCCCAAGGCAGGTCAGCATTACCTTCCCCCAGCTATCGATAGGAAACTGAAGCAAAGAGTTGCAAAGTGACTTGCCCAGCATTATACACCAAGTCAGTAGCAGAGCCTTGAGTGGAACCAAGGAGATCTGAGTAAGATCTAACTCCAGATTCACTTCTGAGAGGCTAAGTACCTTTGAGTGGGGTTTCACCTTACCCTAAACATTCAAGTATTGGCGACTGCAAGAATCAGGATACCAGACTAGACAGGTCATGATATATATGGCTGGGTAAAACTTGTCTTCCCCCAAAGGCCCAGTTATATTGCCACATGGACACCCAAAGTCTTGGTGCATTTAGCCGTTTAGCATCACATCATGAGGGCACCCTGTCAGGCAAACGGGTGAAGACCCCACCGAGGGGCTGGGGAGAGAGAGAGAGAGAGAGAGAAACCCCTAGAAAACAACAGGGGCTAGTTAGTTCCACAAAACTAGAGATAGGGGCCGACCGGGAAGCTCAAGCTTCCCCCTACATTTGGGAGGGTTTGGCTCAGAGAGATGGATGTTCATGTCCTGGCCCACTGGTAGCAGGGCCAGCCATAGCTGCAACCTCCAGCCAACATATCCAAGGCCAACACGCACCTAGGCTTTCCGCCGCCTCTCCATATCCTAGCAACGGGGGCTACCTTCTCCCCCATAACTCTTGCTGTGGAAGCTTTCCCTGCTGTGAATTCAGGTCTCAGGACACGGCTGGGCATGTGGGCCTAAGGGCGGCTAAGGCTGGGAATGGGAGCATCTTGGATCGCCCGAGGCTCTGATCAGGGGAGCTCTTGGCTTTCTTAACCCTGTGAGACTTTGGCGAGACTTTTCAGTTCACATCAGTTCCTGCCTGGCGCTCACCCCCGATTAAACAAACATCTGGGCCAGCTCATAGAGTCCCAGGGAGCGGGGAGGCTGATGTGGAGGTGAGGTTTGAAACCCAGCTCCCTGCAGGCTCTGCCTTACCAGGCAGGGGCAGCTCCTTACCCACAATCCCTGGCTCGCCAGTAAAACTCCTCAGCACAGGGGAGCTGTTTAGCATCAAATATTTATTTAAGCCCAAAGAGCCGGTGCATGGATCAGGTTTCCGGAGGCTCCGGGTCGCCTCTTGCCTCTTTGTGCGCGTCGGGGACTGTGCCAGGGACAGATAAATAACTAATAAAATGCCACGCAGTGACATAATGATGGGCCATAAAGTGTCACCCCGGCTAGTTCTCCCCCTCCAGACACACACGGCTATATGCATTAAACATCCAGGTGCCAGGAGAGTGTGTGGTCAGCCCTCGATGAACAGCTGGTGTCAGGGCAGGGTTCACGGCAGCCAGGCACTGGTGTTCAAGAGGTATTTACAGCACGGCTGTCTCTCCAAAAATCAAGATAATCTGAGCCCCCCAGCACCAATTAATACATTCCTTTTACGGAGACAGACTGCAGGCAGGCCCCGAGTCAGCAAAGCCAGTTGGCACGTTGAGGTCGATGGGATTATTAATGGGGTTAAAGCCAGGCAAAGTGCTTTGCTGTATCTCAATGCACACTCCTACCCACTCACCCCGGTGGGCCTTTAGAACTCACTTCCACTGTTGGTAAGTAATAGTCGGAGTTTGCGAACCTTCAGAGTGTGCTGCAAGTCCCATCTTTGAGCCCTAGCCTGGAAGGCGGTTGCTAGGGCTGAGTAGTGGTGGTGTGGGATCCCGGGGGATGGGTTTAAACTACCTCTTTGGAATTTACTATAGGTTTGTACAGCACCAAGCACAGTGGAGCCCCGACTTGGATGGTCTCTAGGTGCTACCATGATATAAATTTTAAATAATAACAAAGTAAGTTGTTGCTGGAGAATCTGATCGTGGGTTAATGGACAGCTCTGTTTATTTATTAGTGTAATTTTAAAATATTGTCAAGAGCATGCAGAGCTTTCGATGGTCATTCTTATAGAGTAGTAAAAATTACATGAATTAAATTAAAGCAATTACATCTAAGGGAAGGTGGTTCTTTCATTTTAAATATTTCTATTGTTCACAATTAAGTGAAGAGCAAATTCCTTTAAAGGATGATTTTTGTACTAACCCACCACAATCCACAATTTCATGTTTTAAAGTCTATTTGCATAGTTTGTTACTACAGTTTCAACTGGAAACATTAGGCTTCATTTCCTGTCCTAAACTGTGGTGTGGTAGCAATGTTGTGTGCTGTTAAACAGCTGCCATACACCACCCCAGAGGTGGCTTCATTTTAGTGACAGGTAAAGCAATTGCTACTCATATTCTCCTATATTTCCGGCATGGCTTCTCTAGCCACATTTGGCTGATGCCACTTCACTCAGGTCAGTGGAAGCTACTGCATGGAACCTGCAAGAGACCCTTAGTGCAAAGCAGAGAGAATTCTGTCCATCATCTGCAAAATGCATTGGGTCTTCTGGGGATGAAAGAGGCTGTGTAAGATGTTATCTAAAAGGATCAAAGGCGCATCACGGGGCAGCCCAGCAGATGACATTGCAGAAGAAGCAGAAAATGTCCTGAGCCTTGCTCCACATTACTCCGGAGTCTGGCAGGCAAATGCTACCAAAGATCGGGCTTATTTCCTGCTGATGACTGGGCCCCGGATGTATTGAAAGCAGGGGTGGGCTCAAGCCAAATCCCTGGATCCAGACACACACTTCCCCCAAACGAGGGAAGTTCAGATCTGGACTTTACAGCTCATCCCCAATCTCTGTGTAAAAGGGGCACTCAAGTTTGGAGATCCCAAAGCGGGTCAGAGCCCAAAAGGCACAGCTGAGAAAAGCAGAGAGGCTGGATGAAGAAAGCCCTGTGGGAGCAGCTGGCTCTCTGAAGGCCACTTAAAGCATTCCGCCCCTCACCAGTGGGCAGGAGAAGGCTCTAGCTAACCAGGGCAATTAGCACTGTTCTTTAGAATTCAGACCAGTGATTAAGACTGGCTGCATTTAATCAACTGCAGAGCTTAATCCAGGGGAACGAGACGGATTCCCTCCAAGGATATGGAGCAGCCAGACAGCTGCACTGGCTGAAAGAATGGAGCATCATTGTAGGATTGCAAAACCATTCTCTGCAGCAGCACCTCCAACAGCCAGCCAGCTGCTGCTGGACCCTTGAAAGGAGTAATTCATTGTCCCGGAGAGACTCCTTCACTTTCTCTGCCATGGGAAGGTTTGCTGGGTTTTCATACCACAGAAGAGGAAGTGGAATGACAGCCTTATGGGTAAGTCACTGGATGAGGTCTCGGGAAATCCAAGGTCAGTTCCCATCTCCACTACAGGCTCCCTATGACACGCTGGGCAAGCCACTTACCTTCTCTGTGGTCCCCATCTGTACAGTGGGGGGAAACACTGATCTGCCTTGGAGGATTAATTCACTGATGTAGGCCCTGTGCTCCGAGATCCCTGTGTGGGAGCCCTAGGAAGGGCAGTGGGTTAATGGCGGTTACAGTTCATAAAAATTGGAAACTGATTAGTTCCTTTCCTGCCAACCTGCCTCTTTGCAAAGTGCAGCAGGCGGCATTTACAAACCAGGAGCCCAGGAATCTCTCCAATGAGTCCACTCAAGCCCTGCTCACTGCTCTCAACCCAACACTACCTCAAAGGTGTTCAAGCGCCTGACTTTGGCCCTCAAATGCCCTTGAGGATCTGGGTGATGACCAACATCTTTGGGAGAGAACAAGGATTCCCTCCCTGCAACACTCCTTCCGTCCCACAACAGAGCCCCCGACCCACCGCCCGGCTGCCTGCCAGGAGCCGTCAAGCCCGTACCTCGACAAGCTTGTCCTGAGGTCGGAGGCCCGCTTTAGAGGCTGGTGAATCGGGATCTACCGAACGGATGAACTGCCCAGGTCTGGACTTTTCACTGTGGAGGTTGAACCCGTAGCCACTGGGGCCTTTCTTAAGGTGACAGAGACGCGGACGCAGCTCCTGTGTTGGTCCATTGACATCCTGGTGAAAGAGAATAAAAGCCACAGGGTTATATTTGCTGCTTTAAAAAAAAAAAAATGCAGATGCAACAATTAGAAACAAAACCAAACACGGAAATGGCCAATCTGAGATACCGACCCCCTCCTCTCCCAGCTACACAGGGACACGTTAACATATGTATTTCCTCGAATTGAGTCTATTTTAAAAGCCAATTGTCCAACTCCATTCTGATACAAGCAAGAAAAATGCATTTCCTGAATCACAAACTGCTCGAATAAAATACACCCATTAATTTGGACTCCCACCTCTAAACACGAGTCTGACACTCCCGCCCCAGCAGAACAGGAAACAGAGAAACAAGGGCCTGTTTGAAGAACACAGGATTTAGGAGACAATGTATTAACCGTACTTATTTATTTACGGGAGGATAGTGCCCTGGATCTTGCGCACATCAGCAGCCCTTGCACGTGGCTATAGTAATATCTTCCCGTTACCGAGCTCCTTTCATTCGGAAGGATCCTGAAGAACCTAACAGTCAGACACTCACCGTCTCATAGGATCACTTCCCTCCTCACTAGGATGTGCCAAGGTGACTGCACAGGAATTCTGTGCAATGGGTTCAGGACTGGCCATGGAGTAATTGCCCCTTATCCAATGGAGAGTGCAGACAGAACTTAGGGAGGTAGAATGGCATTGGCCATGGTGCAATTCAACCAGCACACTCACTCTTGCAAAAAGTGCCCGAAGTTGTCAGGACATGTGGATAAAGGGCATGCTATGGACCTTAATGGGGCCCCTGATACAGGGCCTAATAGGGTCCATCCATTTCTGGGATAGTCCTGAGAAAAGACACGGAGAACTTACTAGTGTTGCTTTGTAGGGATCTGTGCAAGTCTCTTCTTATTGGGTCATGATTAGGAAACAGAACAAGACCTTCCAAAAGAGCGAGGTCGGCGTGCAATGAAACCCGACGTTGGCGATTACGTTGAACGTGCTGCCCTTGCGTCTGGCACTGAGGAAACCCGTCCGCTGATAGAACCCTGGCCAGGGAGGAGTGCCAACTAGCGTCTGTGAAAGCGAGGCTAAGAGGGAGGAGTCTTGGGGCTAACGCACAGTGGGCCTGGACTTTATTCCTGGCTTTGCAGCTTTAGACCCAACACTTACCCAAGCCATGCCTCAGTTTCTCCATCTATAAGAGGCAGATTATACTTCCTTAGCTCAGAGGAGTTGTGGAGCGTCATTTATTAACATGTGTGAACACTTCCAGATCCTTGGGTTTGGCAGAGGTGTAATGACACCAGCTGCAAGGCCACGGACTATTATTGCCCAGTAGTTTAGCGTCCAGTACAACTAATGTGTCCAGACACCCTTAGTGTGATCTTTTATGAGTAAAGCAACCTATGCTCTGATAAAGAGAGAGGTGGGGGGGGGTCTGGGTACTGTGGCTTGAATTACTGCCCAAAGGGGCTTTCTGAACCCCTCTGTCCAGCCCTTTCCCGGACTCTAGCCGCGTCTCCCACAAGAACACGGAAGAAAATGGTTTTCCACAAGCGAAGGAGGACTAGGGAGGTGCTGACTCAGTGCTGGCGATGTGTCTGCCAGGCCAAGGAGAGTCACTGCAGCTTTCATGAAACCAGGTCCCCTTTGCTTCCAGCAGGGCTGAATTCTAGCCCAGCCCCAGCCCATCTCAACCCGCCAAGGGCCCATGGATGTTGGCTCGCCTGCTGAGTCTGGGCCTGTGAAGTCCATGCTAAAAGCGAGAGAAATCTGGGTCTGCGGAGGGCCAGGGGGTGAATGTGGGGCTAGGTCGAGGGCCAGCCATGACATGCCACTGCCCTTGTTAGCAATCGGTGCAGCTGACCTCGCTCGACCTTGGCGGGGCCGAGCGTGCTGTGGAGCCCTTGTCTTCCCTGATGAGATGGAAATCAGGGCGTGTGACTCCCATGAAACGGCCCACGAACCTGGTGTGGAGCCACACGCAGCTGCGGTGAGCAGCCGGGGGCCAGCCCCTCGCTCCCCACACAGTGGCCATGTTCAAAGGGGTAACAGCTCCGCCACTCCGCCTGCAGCGTGACTGCCACCACTGAGCACCAGCCCTTAGGGAGGCTTAGGGACTGACTGGGCACCAATGGGGATGCCGCTCATCATGGCAGCTGACTATCTGCCGCCCCGCCAGCCGGCAAGAAGCAAAGCATTTGGGGTTGAACAGCAAACCCCATTCCCCCGCCAACAAACCCCACGTTAGGAAGGTCCCGTCTCTTGCTCATTTTTGCAGTTTCCACGCCCCTCGCTCGCTGCAAAGCATGTTCTGCAGCATCGCTGGACTGGCTGGGGTCAGGGAGCTCCTGAAAAAGCCCAGCCCGACGCGCCCTTTCCGGCCCGTTGGGCAGATCCAAGAGGAACGCAGAGCTTGGGGAAATGTCTAACCGCTGGGTGCCGTATCCCAGCCCACCTGCCGCGTGGGGAGGGTGGAGCCTAGTTATTTGGGGGAGGAACTCAAGCACAGGACGGCACATCAGGATTCCTGGGTTCTCTTCCCAGTTCTGCCACTGACTCACAGTCAAGCAATTTGCCAGGCAGGCTTGGATGGAAAGGACTGTTCGAACCAACAGCAGACAGCGTTAGCGGTCACTGCAATGGTTTCGACTCGCCACCCACATCAGCGAGCCCATGACATTTTCACCAGCTATTTTTCACTGCGCTTAGTCTGGATTGACCACGGAGCGCTGCTCACTCGCTGTTGCTGCTCTATCCTCTATCCCAGGGACTGGGTTTCTTCTGTTTATTTTGGTGTAATTACAGGTGAGCCTGTCTCGCCAGTGCAGCTCGAACAAACATGTCGGTTTATCCTCTGGGGTCCCATGGAGCTATTATAAGTCCGTGGAAAGTAAACATGGACTATATAAAAGCTTGCTGTGGGCAACAGATTAAAATTTCAGGAGCATGTGGTATGTTTAGCACTTTCCCTCATTCACGTTGAGCACTGAAAGAAATTGCTTTATTGCAATAACTGGGCTCATGGGGGTTAGCTCAGAAATTATTCAAAACCAGCAAGGGGGGCAGCAAATATTGGGGTTTCGCAATGACCGTTCTCTTTTTAATCCATTAGCAATAGAGCGGTGATGGATTGATATGTATATACATTAGAGCTGCTCCAAAAATTGCAGAAGTTTCCTGTGAACTTTCTTTGATTTTTCACTGAAAACAAAACAAAAGATTTTTTTCACTAAAAATGTTCTAGTTTTCCTTATTTTTTTTTAAAAATCCGGCTTTAGTAAAGTATTTTGGGTTTTGTTTCTTTATGAAAAATCAGAACGTTTCAACCCAAATGGAAATTTTCAGTGGGAATTTTTTTGTTTTAGTCAAAAAGCAGTTTTTCGGAGAAAAAAAATGCAATGAAAAATTCTAATGAGATCTGATTTGTAGATTTAGAAACCAACTGAGCTTCCCTATGGGGATGCGCAGGTGCGGTCAAATTCATCCCCATCTCTCTGGCTCATTCAATGCTTGGCACTCCTGCGGGGCTGCCCAGACGGGGAGATCCACTAGTACCCAGGGGGGGCTGAAACAATGTCTATAGTGGGTGTCCTGAGAGCCATTGAATCAAACTGTAAACCCTACATATGATGGAAATCACGACAAGCCAGGGGGTGCAGCAGGCCCCCCCAGCACCCTTAGTTCCAGCACCTATGCTAGTACCAACTACAATGCGGACAATCGGTCTGTAAGGCGCTGGACTAAAGCCACCAACTTTTTTCACGCAGGTCACCAACCTTGGTCTGAAGTTACCCAGCAGCCTGGCATGCCATTCCAAATCCCCCGAGCAACCTGTTCCCCAACAACCGACGGCTTTGTCTTCAGTGCCGGTATTGGATTGTGGTCTGCACACACAAGGGGACAGCCTCCTTTCAAACCATGATATTTAGCTGCAGTCAGAAGGGGAGCTGGAAACTCAAGCAAACGCCTCCCACCTTTGCCCCATCTCTGCATGAATTACTTTGCAGTCCTTGGTACTGACGCCCTATAGCAGAGCACAAGCAGCGGATTAACGGTCAGCAAAACGACGCCGGTGCTGGGTAGAAAGCTGCAGACTGCTCAGGGTAGGGTGCAAAGCACTAGGTATAGACACAGTCCTCTACGTTGAGGGCTTTACTTGGGTCTCCAGGGGTGCATAGATCTTGTGCTGGCCCTCTGTACAGGAGTGAACGGAGCCTATGCCCTACAGTAGTTTACAGTAGTGTAATTACGATGTTTGGATCATTATTATAAAATACCCATTTTTTAAATATTGGCTGCTTCCTATGCAACAATACTGATACCTTCCAGAACCCACCCTTAGTAGATCTAAGCACTTTACAAACACTAGCGGTGTGTCCTGAAGCAGAACTCAGGAGACCTGCGTTCTATTCCCGTCTCTGCCACTGGCCTGCTGGGTGACCTTGGGCAAGCCACTTTAACGCTCTGTGCCTCAGTTTCCCCAATCTGTAACATGACAATGACCTCCCTTTGTAAAGCACTTTGAGATCTATGGATGAAAAGTGCTCTATAAACGCTACCCATTATTATTAGCTGATTCAGTCTGACAATTCCCCTGAGAGGTGGCTAAGCATTATCTCCATTTGCAGGTAAGGAAAATGATCATAGGGAAACCCAGCTGCTACACAATTTAAGCACGAGGACAGATACACTGACATTAGAGCTGGTGACACCCTTTTTTTTTTTAAAACCACAATTAACATTTTTCCACAAAAAGGCATCTTCGGTCCAAAAAAAGTATTGTGTTGGGGAAAGTTTTCAACCAGCTCTGAGCCGATAGTCAGGGATGGAATATGACCCACTGGAGCTCATTAAGATGTTGTACAAAAGAATAAAAAGTCACCACATCAATGATCAGGGATAGCTGTAGTGGAGGTGGGTCGTTGTTACTCATAAAAGGAAAGGGGAAATAACAGAACACCTTTACCTAAAGCAGTTTGTTGCCTCACTGCCAAAACAGACTGGGGGCAGTGGGGTGTAAAAAG